AACACCTTCTGCGCTGGGCTGGGCCAGGCGGTGCCCTCGATGGTGGCGCTGACCACTGCGCTGCCCAGCTTCGCAGAGCCCCCCGATGCCTACTACGGACCCCCGGAGCTCGCCGCTGCCGCCGCCGCCGCCTCTACCGCCTCACGAAGCAATCCCGAGCCCGCGGCCCGGCGCACGGAGGGAGCGCTGGACGCCGACGAGCTGCTGCCGGCGCGCGACAAAGTGGCTGAACCCCCGCCGCCCCAGCCACCGCACTTCTCAGAGACTTTCCCGAGTCTGCCGGGTAAGTGCTGGGACCGACATGGGTTCCACCGAAAGGAAGTCCCAGACCGGGACCAGTCAGTCCAGGATTCCTACCACCTGCTTGGAGCCCTGGAGTGCCAGATCCCAGCTCGTGAGCGGTATTCAGTCCCCAACGCCTCCAGGTCCCAAAGCCCTGCTCTGGCCTCGGAGCGCCTGAAGCCTCACCGGTGGCACGCTTCTCTCGGCGTTGTAGTCCACAAGCCTAGCCCTGTCTCTTTTTCAGAATCCCTTCGTTTTTCCTGAGGGCCCCAGCAGGACATTTGGGGGCAACTGTCAGTTTAGAATGTGGGGGCGCATTGTGAATCAACCCCTCAGCACTCAAATGGTAGGCATGGGCTTTGTGGATGCAGGGCAAAGGAGGGTCTGATGAGCCTGTAGCTTCTTCCCCTTAGCGGAGATCACTCTTGAATTCTCATTTAGACTAGACCTAAACGTTGGAGAACCAGGTAGGGCGCTGGACCAGGGCAGCCTAGCACTAGAGATGCTCAAGGCTGCTAGAGTTGGGTGTGGCATGAAGACGAAGAGTTGAGGATCCTGCTAAGATTCAGCTGACAGGTCATTCAAGAGCCCTGGGAGGATGCCCTCTCCACGGGGACAGGCTGGAGTAAAATGGACCCTGATCAGAACCCATTCCCTCAAAGTCCTCTTGTCCTGCCCTCGGCATCCTAAGGCCAAAAAGCGTTCTCCTAGCCAGGCAGAGCCAGGTGTGCCGAGATCAAGGCTTATGCAATCTGGTGAGTTCTAATTAAGAAAAATAGCCCGTGCAAGGGTAGAGAGCTTAAACTTCCTTCACGCTGGGATGAGCCCACTTCTGCTCCCCAGTTCATGGCACCTAGCTCAGCCCATGGAAACGACCCGATGGGTCTGGAGGATGACCATTGCGGAGGCAAGAAGAGGGTCCAAGTGTCATTGGCCGGGGCAGGCAGGCAATTCCGGATGACAGGCTTCTGCCGTGAACTGCCCACGGGGCAGTCAAGAAGCCTGTCTTCCAGTTTTGGTTTAGTTCTGGGCATTTTGACTGTGGGGATTCTTCTGTTGGCAATTCCTTTTCTAAACTGGTTGACCCAAGAGGATCTGAAGTCAGAGCAGAGACTCCTCAGGAGGACCCTGAGCAGATAGGAGACAGCGTCTTCAGGACAAGGGGTCGGGGCAGAGCAGGGTGGAGGGTGGAGAGCAGCAGGTACCCCTTAAGAAGGAGGGGTTGGGGTCGTTCAAAAGCAGGAAAACAGGGCTGGCTACTGAAGAGGTGCTGTGGAGGCCACCCGTGGGGCCTGGGGGCAGAGCCAGGCACAGAAGGAAGCCAGGGAAGGTGGGAGGGGACCCAGAGGTGGAGCAACAGTGAGGGGTGTGCCCTCACCACGGGAGCGCAAACAGCTCATCCACACACTGCCAGGGTCCCCGGCTCTCCTCTCCACTCTTGTGTATAAAGGGGGTTCTTTTCTGAAATAAACCCAGTACTGGCTAGTAAACCAAATATATCAACAGAGGAAGAGGACAGGAGAGAACTCCTGAGAAGAAAGGAGTGAGGAAAGAGCTGGGGGGGGGGCAGGGGGTGAGGTGACGACAGACGCGGACTGACTGGAGATCGGGAACAGGGAACAGGTTGTCTGTGGGAAGAGGAACTCTGGGCTGGGCTGAATGAAAAGTGAGCAATCTCACTGAAAAAGTGTGCGAGGAAGAGTTCTGTCACAGGAGGGCTGGGAGAGAGTGAAATAAAAATGCCAGGGCGTGCCGAGAGTTTCAGCACCGGGAGTAATGTTCCCTAGACGGGGACTGGGGACTGAGGACGATGACAGGGTGGTGTCACAGGCGGGAAGAAAGAAGAGATTCTCTGATCTGAGGAAAATGTAATCCACAAGAAAAGGAGCTGTGTGTGTGTGTGCTGGAGCGCCGGGAAGGGGCTTTGTTGGCGATATAATGGGAAGGAGCCGGTGCAGGGGAGGGTGATGACAGTGTCTGTGCTGAAGGTCATGCCCCAGCCTGGGAAGATCTGTGGCGGTATCACTGTGGGTACCGGAAGAGCGGTAAGGAAGTCAGGCTTCAGAGGGGCTGGGACCTGTCTTCCCCCTCAGTTCAGCTGTCCCAGCCCTCGGCCAACAACCACTCCCCTGCCTTCCCAGGTGTGAGTGGTCCGTGACATGACTGTGGAAAGAAAAAAAAATGCCGTTACTGAAATGTTAGGCATGAAATCCATCCGGGCAATGACTGCACATGGCCACCGAGGCTGATGGGAAATGGAACCTTCTTCTGTTGGGGGACTGTCTCAGAGGACTTGGGGTGAAGTAGGAGAGTTCTTCACTGTGCATGGAACAGGAGCCTCCACAGGAAAGAGTCTGGGAAGGAATACAGTCTTTAGAATGGCAGAGGGACAGCTGCTTTCCTGGTGGGGATGAGTGGGTGGCACTGGACTGAAGTTATTGCTCATTCACACTTGTTGAATATGTAACGTATAATCGCTAGCCTCTTTAAATGACCTTATAGAGTAGCTGGGTGGGGTGGCACCCATAACTAGGAGGTAGAGGCTGGCAGAAGAGGAATTAAAGCCAACTACAGCTCCATATTATGTTGGGGGACAGCCTGGGTTACTTGAGACCCTATCTTTGAAAAGAAAAGAACAGAAGAAAACGTCTAGTGAAGACAGGCCAATTTGGAGAATGAAAAAGTTCTATACTTTGGGAATTACAGGAAAATTTTTTTCAGTTGGTTAAGAATTAAGACAGATGTCGCTCTATATGAGAACTGAGGAAGAGAACGCCCTGAACGTCATTATAATTTGACTATCGGGGTAAAAGCTATGTTAGCAAATGGAGGTGTGGGGGGGGACTATGACAAGAAATGATGGATCGGAAAAGCACTGAGAATGGGAGATTGAAAGGGTTCCAGGCTGGGAGTATGGGGTGCAGTGGGGCTAACTGGAGGCAGCTTTTACTAGGAGAGAATTTTGAAGGTGTAGGGAGGATTAAATACGGACCAGTGGAGCTGGGGTGGCTTGCCTAGCTTGTGTTCAGTACACACAAGTGCTCACACACTTGAGCTCTCGAATACTCGCTCACACACATACATGTGCACACACATACACACCAAACAGAAACCCAAAGAAGTGAGAGCTGACTACTAGAAATATCAAGCAAGCCCTTTATTAATATATGTAATTTAAAGGTTTCACTAGCCACATTAAAAAGATAAAAGAAACTAGTGCAATGAATAACAATCTTCTTTAATCAAATATGTCCAAAATATCTTTTCAGCATTAATCCATATAAATATTTGAGTGACATATTTTGTGTCCTCTTTTCATACCATCTTTGAAATCAGTGCATATATTCCCCACTCCCAGCTCAGCTGCCTTCAAACTAGCCATGTTTCAGGTGCTGACGAGACCCTATCAATACATCTAAAGAGTCTGTAAGACCAGTCTCACGAAAGCCGTGGAGGAAGGGAGTAGGGTAGCAGATCCTCAGCATCCCAGGAAACGGGCAGAGGACAGACCAGATTCAGCCCCAAGAGGGTCTGAGCTGGTCTTGGGGATCTGAAGAAGTGTGTGAGCTCTGGCTGTGGTAGTCAGTCCCAGCTAACCCGTGTGCCAGACACGGCAAGGCTGTGCATCACACAGCTGGTCGCCGGGAAGGACGCTGTGTGCTGGGGAGTAATGGAAGAAAACCATCCTTTGGGGAAAATGCAGGCTGGGATTTCAAACAGAGAGTATTTGGAGTATTCCACTTGAAGGCTGGACCTCTTGGATGCGGGAGCTTCGACAGTGAGTGGGTGTGGGTATGCCATGCGTAACCATTAGATGGGTGAGAAATACAAGGAGAGACTGGCATGAGGCATGATGCCTGTATTGGATGCGGAGCAAATGAAGACATTTGTAGCTAGGGTGGTGTAGAGGATGAGAGAGTGTGAGGGACCAACCTGGGAGATGTCAGTGTAGGGAGCACTATTTTTAAAAAAAACTGAACAGGTAAGGATTTGCTAATTTCCGAATGGAGATTGCGGTAATAATGGTAATCACACAGGGACCAGGAAACTTCAGAGCAGCGTGGTGTTCAAGGGCTGATTGCTGTAAGCTGAGCGCCTGATTGTAGCTGGGGAACATTTTAAATGACCATTAATTAATTTCTGAATAGGTGCCTATTATGACTGTCAAGATATGATATTTATCTATGAGAGGGAGACAGGAAATGACGTGCTGTAGAGCCAGAGATTTCTACTGTTTAAAAACTAGAGTTTTTTTTTTTTTAGGTGACCAAGACCTAGAGTATATTTTCCTAGAACTTTGGAGAAAGTGCACAGAGAGATTGATTGTTCCACTGACTTTTTGTTTTGTTTTTTAACACAGGGTATATCATTCTGTTTCCCAGGCCAACCTCAGACTCACTGTGTAGCCCAGGCTGGTCTCAAACTCACGACACTCCACCTCCTTAGCCTCCCAAGGGTTGGGATTAAAGGTGTGAACCACTACACTCAGCTTGTGCAGTTGATTTTTCGCATTTTATTTTTATTTTGTCTTTTTGAAATATTTTATTTTTTAAAATTACATGCATATATGTACAGAAGTCAGAAGACTGTTGGGGCCCCTGGAGCTGCAGCTACAGGCAGTTGTGAGCCCCCTGACGACGTTGGTGCCGGGAAGAACAGTGTGTGCGCCTAACTGCTGAGCCATCTCTCCAGACGTCTTTATTTTTATTTTGAGACAAGGGCTTGTGTATCCCAGGCAGACTTCAAACTCACCCTATGCAAGAGGACCTTGAACTTGTGATGTTACAGCCCCAGCTAACCCTCCACTGACTTCCTTCACTTCTGTCTTCTCCCCTCTCCTCCTCTTCTCATCTCCTCCCCTCCCCTCCCCTCCCCTCCTCTTCTCTTATCTTTTTGAGACAGTCTCTCTATGTAGCCCTGGCTGACCTAGAACCAGGCTGGCCTCAACTCACAAAGATCTGCTGCCTCTGCCTCCTGAGTGCTGGGATTAAAGGCATGCGC